GGGGGAGGCTGGGAAGAGATGTGAAGGGTAAACAAAGGAGGAGGATGCAATGCTTGGTAAGAAATGTACGCATTATCCTGCCCATATAATTGTAACCCCTCTGTACAGTATGTTCACAAATAAAATAAAATTAAATTAAAAAAAAAAAGAAAAACCACTGTCTTAGTCCCATTTTAACAGAGAATGAAACAAATTCAGAGAGGCCTAGTAGCTCACCCAAGGTCACACAGATTTAAATGTGGTTTCTTCTGACTTTCTGGGTTATAATTTTGTCTATCTATGGGGAAAAATAATAATAATAAAAAAAACTTGTTTCAAGTCACTGTTAACTAGAAACACTGGTTTGTTCTTACTGTTTCAATTCTGCCACCCCTTATGTACCACCTCCTCCTCCTGGTGCTTCTCATAGTGAGAAAAGCCATTGAAGATGGAGGTTGTGTGCCTATAGGAAGCGATAATCTTTAGCATTTGCTTGGCCTTTTCCAGGGGCACCTCCTGTATGTCTCAGGAGTTTGTGCCAGGCTTGTTGTCTTGTTCTCCAGTCTGATGTGCCAGAGCTGGCTATTGGGTGTGCCCTTGACAAAAATCCACTTCACATAGAACTTCTCCTTTCATTTGTCCTGAGACCAGACCCCTTCGCTGGTGCCATAGTCCACGGCAGACTTCATCTCAGCCACTACACACTTCTCATTTTAGGTGCTTAATTGGAGATAAAAGTGTCACAGACTTTTTGGCCTGGCTGACTTTGCACCATGATCTTCAGATTTCAGTCTCTTGAGTAGCTAGGATTATAGGTGTAAGCCACCATCTCTTGGAGATCATTATATATTTTTATAAAGTTTTCAAAACTTGAATTAAGGTTTTGTTTTTGTTTTTCCCTCTCTCTATCACAGTATTGTTTAAAACTCAGGAACTGCAGCTGTTCCTAAGCTTTTAAGGCTAGTGCTCTTATCACTTGAGTCACAGTTCCACTTCTGAATTTTTGGTGTTGATTGGAGATGAGTGTTACAGACTTTCCTACCTGGGCTGGCTTTAGACTAGGATCCTCAGATCTCAGCCTTCTGAGTAGCTAGGAATTATAGATATGAGCCATTGGCACTCAGCTTTAATACCCCCCAACCCCCCTTGTAGGGCTTGAACTCAGGGCCTGGGCACTGTCCTTGAGCTCTTTGGTTCAAGGCAAGCGTTCTACCACTTGAGCCATAACATCATTTCTGGTTTTCTGGTGGTTAAGTCTCCAGTTAAGAGTCTCATGGACTTTCCTGTCTGGGCTGGCTTTGAACTGTGATCCTTAGTTCTCACCCTCCTGAGTAGCTAGGATTACATGCATGAGCCACTGGTGGCTGGCAAGCTTCATTTTTTGTTATATGAAATACTATAATTGGTTTTCTCTTGTTAGATGCCTTAGATTTCTTAGTTTTTCACTATTACGTTAAAGCTTTTAATTTTGCTGCTGTTGGGACTTGAACTCTGGCCCTGGGTACTGTCTCTGAGCTTTTTCTTTTCTTTTTTTTCCCTCAAGATTAGCATTTTCCCACTTGAGCCACAGCTCCACTTCTGTCTTTTTTGTGTGTGTGTGGTTAATTGGAAATAGTGTCTCAAGGACTTTCCTGCTTTGCTTTGATCTGTGATCGTCAGATCTCAGCCTCTTGAGTAGCTAGGATTACAGGCAGCCATCAGCTCCCAGCTAAGCCTTTAAAATACATATTTTAGTGATTGCTTTTTAATTTAAAAAATTTCAAAATTAAAAGCAAAGGTTGAGTTTACTTTCAGTTTGAGTCTATATTTCAAAATTATAGGACTTAGTCAAACTTGGTTGTATGTAAAAAAAATTGGTGTGTATTAATTACATAAGGCAGTTTTATTGTAATTTTCTATATAAGCATATACTTGAATCAAATTCATTCCCTCCAGTTGATGAGCCTTTAACTTGCATAAAGTAAATGTCTATTTGCTTTTTCTTATGCTTGTACTAATAAAAGTTCATCAGATAGTCCTTATTCAGTTCTGTGCCTTAAATGTAAATTTAAATTTAAGCTTTGTTTACAGGAAAAAAGAACAGAAGAAAGCTAATCAAATATCAGCTGAATGTAAATTGTGTGAAATAATAGGTAATGGGTCTTTCTTTTTGTTTTTTAACCAGTGACTTTTTTGAACGAACCATTTTGTGCAACAGCCTTGTGTGGAGTTGTGCTGTGACAGGTAGACCTGGATTGACCTATCAGGAAGCACTTGAGTCAGAGAAAAAAGCAAGACTGAATCTTCAGAGTTTTCCAGAACCACTAATTACTCCAGTTTTATACTTGACCAACCTTACTCATCGCTCACGCTTACATGAAGTTTGTGATGATATTTTTGCATATGTCAAGGACCGATACTTTGTTGAAGAAACTGTGGAAGTCATTAGGAACAATGGTACAAGGTAAAGTACTTAAAATTTTTCCTTTTAATAAGCATATATTCACCTAAATTCAAGGCCAGCCTGAGCTATACCTAGAGAGACCCTGTCACACACACACACACACACACACACATACAGAATACCCGAAGAAATCTTCCTTGTTACTCTAGCTGTACTGTTTAACCTAGGTAGCCCTGTGTTACCTATTTCTTGTATCTTTCCAGAGCTAAGTTATGTATATGCCACCAAAAGTATATGCATGAGTCTATTTGTATAGATACACATAACATATGCCTCCTCCCCTTTTTCAGTCCTGGGGCTTGAACTTAGGATGCTATCTTTGAGCTTTTTTGCTCAAGATTGGCACTCTACCATTTGAACCACCGCTTCACTTCTGACTTTGTGTGGCGGTTTATTGGAGATCAGAATCTAAAGGCACTTTCCTATACAGGCCTATCATTGAATTGCATTCCTCAGATCTTAGCCTTCTGACTAGCTAGGATTATAGGCATGAGCCAGCATCACCCAGCACTATCCCCTTTTAATATAATAAATGATAGGCCATTCACTTAAAATATATTAATAAATACGTAATAAATTAATCTTTTACACTTAAAATATATTAGAGATAAATCCATTGCTATGTAAGCCACCTTCATTTTTTTTTTTTTTTTTTTTTGGTCAGTTGTGGGGCCTGAATTCTGGGCCTGGGCATCTGGGCCTGGGCCCTGTCCCTCAGCTTTTCAGCTCAAGGCTAGTGCTCTACTACTTGAGCCAAAGCACCACTTCCAGCCTTTTCTACTTATGTGTTGCTGAGGAATCGAACCCAGGGCCTCATGCATGCAAGGCAAGTCCTCTACCACTGAGCCATCTTCCTAGCCCTGCCACCTTCATTCTTTTTACAATATAATAAGTTCCACAATATCATTTTATTTATTTCTTAGTGCCAATCTTGGAGGTTGAACTCAGGGCATGGCCACTGTTGCTGAGCTTTTATGCTTATGGTTAGTGCTGTTGCCACTTGAGCCACAGCTCCACTTCTGTTTTTGTGTGTGTGTGTGTGTATTTAATTAGAGACTTTCCTGTCTGTGCTGGCTTTGAACCATGATCCTCAGATCTTAGCCTTCTGAGCAGCTAAGATTACAGGCATGAGCCACTGATACCTGGCTCCCACAATACCATTTTGTAAAAAAATTTTAATAAAGAGCAACTGGGAATATGGATTAGTGGTAGAGTGCTTGCCTATTATGCATGAAGTCCTGAGTTCGATTTTCTCAGTACCACATAAACAGAAAAGGCTGGGAGTGGTGCTGTGGCTCGAGTGGTAGTATGCTAGCCTTGACCAAAAGAAGCTTGGGGACAGTCCAGGCCCTGAGTTCAAGCCCCAGGACTGGCAAAAAAATAAAAATAAGAATACATTTCTTTTTGGACAGTGTCACCCCTTCCCTTGCTCTCTGCCATTTTTTTCTTTTTACCCCCATGCACAAGTTGTATATTTCATTTTCATCATAATGTTCAGTGAGTACCATTGTTGCATTCCACTATACCATTTTTAAGAGGTTAAAAAAAAACTCAACAAACCTTAGATGCTGATACATGTGTGTTATGTCCTTGTTTTGTTACCTCTTAGTTCTATGATGTTTGCTTTTATTTGGTGCTGGTCCTGGTGCTTGAACTCAGGTCCTTAGCATTGTCCTTAAGCTTTTTTTTTTACACATGTCTAGTGCCACAGCTTTACGTCCAGGTTTTTGGTGGTTACCTAGAAATAAGAGTCTCACAGACTTTCCTGCCCAGGCTGGCTTTGAACTGTGATACATCTTAACCTCTTGGATAGCTAAGAGTGCAGGTATGAGCCACCGTGTCTGGGATTTGTTTTTCTTTTTTTCTTTGATGTGCATGTGTGTGTGCTTGTGCCTAGTAGGTATGTGTAATGGTATTGGGGCTTAAATTCAGATCCTAGGCACTGTCAAGGCTAGCACTTTGCCATTGGAGCCACAACTCTACTTCTAGCTTTTTGCTATTTAATTAGAAGTAAGAGTCTCAGAGACTTAAGAAGTCAATGATAAGTCTTTAAGCTTAGTAATTATAACTCAACTCCAATCCAAATGCCAAAAGTCATCAGGAAAAATATAAATAAAACATTTTTCCTTTAAGACACTTAGTAATACTGGTGTTTATTTTTCTGTGGAATTTGTAAATCCTATAGTACTTGCAATAATAACTCTACTTTCTCTTTTTCTTGCATTTTTCCTTTATTTTTTATTTTTTAAATAAATTTTTATTGTAAAGATGCTGTACGGAGGGATTACAGTTACATAAAATAATGAGTACATTTCCTATCAAGCATTGTTACTCCCTCCTTTGTTTTTCCCCTACTATTCCTTCCCTCCCCACCTCCCTTTTTTCCTTTATTGAGATTGATTATATAAATTTCACAAGTATTGTGGGATAGTGATACTCAGTTAAAGGCACATACACAATTTAAACTTCATGAGGCCCATTGTCATTATCATGGTTTACAAACTTTGATACTACAACTATTTTTTCCAAATCAGGTGATAAGTACATATAACTATCTGTTTTCAAGTAATATATCTTTGTATGCATGTCTTGTTTCTGTACAGTATTCAGAAATACTGAGTTCTTTCTTTGTATCAGATACTGATTATTCTTTTTTTTTTCTTTTTTTCTTTTTTATTTGTGAACATACTGTACAGAGGGGTTACAATTACATGGGCAGGATAATACGTACATTTCTTACCAAGCATTGCAGCCTCCTCCTTTGGTTTACCCTTCACATCCCTTCCCAGCCTCCCTCTTCCCCCCCAACTGATTATTCTTTATTTCTTTTTTTTTTTGTGGTCCGGTCGTGGGGCCTGAACTCTGGGCCTGGACACTGTCCCTCAGCTCTTCATCTCAAGGCTAGCGCTCTATCACTTGAGCCACAGCACCACTTCTGGCTTTTTTCTTTTTGCTTATGTGGTGCTGAGGAATCGAACCCAGGGCCTCATACATCCAAGGCAAGCGCTCTACCACTGAGCCACCTTCCCAGCCCAAACCTGTTATTTTTGAAATAGGTTCTCACTTCTTGCCTAAGTCTACCTAGATCATGATCTATGCTTATTGTTGTAGCTGAGATGATAAGTGGACCACCATGTTTGATTCCTCGGCACAACATAACCAGAAAAAGCCAGAAGTTCAAGCCCCATCACTGACAAAAAAGAAACAAAGAAAAAGCCAGAAATGGCGCTGCAGCTCAAGTGGTAGAGTGTTAGCCTTGAGCAAAAAAGAAGCTCAGGGTCAGTGCTCAGACCCTGAGTTCAAGTCCTAGGACTGGCAAAAAAAAACCCAAAACCAAAAAACAAGTTATTAGTTAAGATGGGATCTCAAATTTTTTGTTTGGGCTAGCCACAAGCCATTTTCCACTCAGGCTCAGCTTCACAAGAAGTTAGGATTACAAGTATAGACCACCAGCTTCTGGAGAGCCCTGGAATTTTTATTGATCACTATATTCCCAGCACTTAAAATAACACATAATAGGTGAATTAACAAATATTTGTCAAAGGAGAGTGGTCAGAGTTCCACAAATTAAAAAAAAAAATTTTTTTTCAGCTGGGGCCTATGTGTCATGCTTATAATACTAGCTACTTAGGAGGCTGAGATCTTAGGATCATGGTTTAAATCCAGCCCAGGCAGAAAAATGTCCCTGAGACTTTTATCTCCAATTATCTACTCAAAAACCAGAAGTGGAGCTATGGCTCAAGTAGTAGAGTGCTAGCCTTGAGGAAAATTGCTCAGGAACAGCACCCAGGCCATGAGTTCAAGCCTCATAACTGACCAAAAAAAGAAACAAGATTTCAAACAGATATGCTCCAAAGACGATGATAACTACATTAGATAGATAGGACATTTGAGTAGTTTGGCTCTTGGGTAGGGTAATCACAGAATGCTGCTTTATGGAAGTGACCTTTGTTCTGAAAACACAATGAGAGAGAACAACCAATTGTGCTGTGAAACCTGTAAACAAAAATGTTTTATAAGTATATACTATGTTGGCTGTTGTGTGGTAAAATGTCTGAAATGATGTTCAAACATGGAAACCCTGAAACAGTCTTGAGACTGTGGCAGCAGGCTTTTCTGGGTAGAGCCTTGTGGTCAGGTGGCAGTAGTGCAGATGGAGAGAGTTGAATGTATTTTGGAATGTTTTAAATGAAATATTTTGATCTGTTGATGCATTTGGTGATGGATTAGGCAGGAGTACATAAAACAGAAATCAGGAATGACTACTTTTTTTTTTTTTTCCGGTCGTGGGGCTTGAACTCTGGGCCTGGGTGCTGTCCCTCAGCTCTTCAGCTCAAGGCTAGCGCTCTACCACTTGAGCCACAGCGCCACTTCCGGCTTTTTTTTCTTTTTGCTTACGTGGTGCTGAGGAATCGAACCCAGGGCCTCAGGCTTGCAAGGCAAGCGCTGTACCACTGAGCCACCTTCCCAGCCCCAGGAATGACTACTTTTTACCTTTTGTGGAAGATGCAGAAGTCTTCACAAGAAAACAGAAATCAGGAATGACTCCTTCACTTTTTACCTTTTGTGGAAGATGCAGAAGTCTTCACAAGTAGTATGAGTCTAATTAGACTTTGCTGTCACCTCAGGACAGTCTTTTTCTTCTGATTGTTCAGACTTTGTTTCACAAAAATGTTATTCATGAAAGCCTCTCACAGGTCACATTCTGCTCTGGGTATTATGGATATGAAAGGATTAAGATATGAAAGAGCTTAGTTAATAGAGAAGTGAGTAAACTTGCCAAATAATAGTATATGAGTGAAGTAATTTAGGAGCATTGGGTTATGTGGTATTGAAGTGAGGCAGAGGTTCTTGCATTCATACCAACCCCAAACATTTTGTCTTTTTAACTTTTATCATATCGAATATCTCCTTTGCTGCTGCTTTTTTTTTGGGGAGGGGGGGACTGGTCCTAGGGTTTGAAATCAGGGCTGGGCTCTGCTTGAGCCTCTCTGTGCTCA